AATCAGTCAATAGTTCATATATTATATCGAGATATTGTTGATATATGATCACAGACCATATATCAACAATATCTCGATATAATATATGAACTATTGACTGATTGCACTTCTGCAGGATTCAGTAGAAAGATGATGAAGAAATGTGTCTCAAAATAGATAGAATAAAACAATCTCAAAATAGATAGAATAAAACAATCTCCTTATGATTAGCAATAGTAGTTACATTGTGTTTCAGATTTCGATTTCGCAGAGATTATGCTAACACCTTTTGAATAATTTATTTGATATGGTTTTTTAAAATAGGGTCCAGTTTATCGTATAGCTTGGAGTCCAATTGCAAAAGGTGTTTTTCTTTCATCATCAGCTGATTGGACAGTATCACTTTGGACAACTGATCGATTTCAACCATGTATTACCTTTGCATCAAGAAAGGTATTTATATATCTATGAACTAATTTTATAATCTATTAGTAATTTTAGAAACCAGTATTTGATATTTGTTGGTCACCAAAATCAGCGACGATATTTTGTTGTGCCAATGAAGAAGCCGTAGAAGTATGGGATTTATCAAAAAATACGTAAGAGACTATTTTTTTTCTTCTTCCAACTATTTTAATTACTTCAAATGAAATATCTCATTTCTTTTTTGTTAATATTTTTGCTTTGCCATTAAAGTTTTTATTTCCAGTAAAGTAGATGAGAAAAGTGTTTTTTTCAAAGGTCACATTTCAATGAACATAAATGTTCGCATCTTTCTTCAAACACACGGGTTTTTTTTATGCAAGTTACAATTTTGTTTCTGATCAGCCCTATTGTATTTACAAAAACTTGCCTTCTCCCATTCTTTTTTGACTTCCAGATATGGATCTTATAAAAAATGTTCAGCTTACTCTAGAATCAAAATGATCCATTGCCTATGAAACGGACAGTATCGAATGGATGGAATTTTGTAGCAATTAAATAGTAACAGACTTGAATATTGTCTTTACATGATTAAGAGAGATGCTGTTAGTCTACTTGATGAATTATCTTTAGCTAAAAATATCTTTCTTTATTTTCGTTTTCTAAACATACATATTTGATCAATTTTCTGAATAAGGCAAACTGATTTAGAACGATCAAATCATGTTTTTTCTGTTATGTGATGGTCATCAATACTATAAGATAGTTTCAGTGCTTCTAAAGAAAAAGAAATAGTTGTTTGGGCAAGACCTATTTACAAATTAGAGTTACTATCGGTTTCTTTATGTTCTACTATACCCATGTAAAAATTTTTGACAATTTAATGAAGTTTTGTGACGTGAAAATTCGTTAAAAATTTAACGATTTAACGATTAAAAAGGTTACAATTTCGATCATAAAAACGCGTTAAATATGCAAAAAATTAACGCGTTTTCACGCGTGGAAATATTCTAACGCGTGTTTCAGCGTTAATAATAACATTTTTTAACGCGTTTTCACGGTCAAAATTGTAACAGCTTTTTTCGTGAAATCGTTAAATTTTTAACGAACTATTACGCGTTTATTTTTCGAATAACGCGTGAAAATGTGTTAAATTCGTTAGCGCATATATACAGTAGTATTGAGAGTATTCTAGACTGTTATAAATCACATGCATGATCAGTAGTTTTCAGTCATCAATATTCCCTAAGTTTTACTTATTTGACCAGAAAAATTTATATAAGCAACTGCACTTGAATATTGTACGCAGTCAACTACATACAAGACCG